GAGGCGGCCGCCCAGCAAACCAAGCCTGGCGGGAGCGGGCGGGCGTGTGGCCGCGAGCAGAGCCGCGTCCCTTGCGGAGCCCGCCCTCGGGCCGGTCCCGCCCCGCGCGGGCTGCTGGCGCTCAGTTGTCAGCCCGACTTGCGCGGGACGGCGAGCATCTCTCGTGTCCGAGGGGCACTGGCAAAGCCTGCGTGCGGCCTCACAGCCTCCTCCCTGGCCTGGGGCTGCAGTTCTGTTGGGGCGGGGCGTGCTTGGCTGGGTGGTTTGGTTAAAAACTGTTTCCCCTTTCTCTCCGGCACATAAATAAAACCGTGATCACAGCACTAAGCCTCAGCCCCCACACGACAAAATACTGAGCAGACACTCAAGCACGTGAATGATTTGCTCACCCATCGACTTTAACAGCATTGCTTAAGTGAGTAAAATGCCTCACGTGTGTTTGCAGAATTGGCCCCAAAGTCATAAATTTGATCTATCAGTTTTATCACTACTAGATTGTCTCTCTTTGTAGTCGCAATACATGCTTTTCTCATTTAGTTTTTCAAAAATGAAATGGCTATTACTATAACATATGCATTCATATTTTCAACGAAGAGTTACTTAATATCATTTTCATTAGTCCCTCAGCTTCTCTATGGAGGAAAACTGGATTTTCTGGTTTTTGATTATCTTTCTGAAATTACAATGTCTCTGTTGACTGCTGCAAAAGCCAAATCTCCGGTAAGAAAAGAATGACTTTGATTAGGGAATCATATTTCAAGTATTTTCACATAAAAAAGGAATCACAAGAATTGTATGGCTGATTTAGTAACTAAGTTTTTACAGTTTTAGCTGCTTGGAACGCTCAGATATCATCACAAAGTGATCAATATTTTCAAAGTGCTTCAAATCTTTGCAGTTGCTGAGTGATGCAGGAGGAGTTCTGCGCCACTGTGCACGTGCAGAATTTATGTATCCGGCAGATATCTTTACTTTCCCTGAGGAAAATGACTTTCTGATGGGGAAGCAAAAGGAATCTACAAGAGCAGTCATGTGACCCTCCGTAGAAGTATGTTTCTTGTGCCTAGTGCAGTTGGCAGAGAGGTAAACACTGTGGGGCAGTGGGCAGAACTGGGGAAGACTTGGCTGATGGCTTCTGCTGTGTACCAGGCTAGTCCTGGCTGGGCTGAGAACGGCAGGACTTTCTCTTTCCTTGCAAAGCTTCCCATGCACAGGCAGGTCTGACTCACCTCCAGATTCTTCTTCCCCTGCACAACCGGATCAGACCCACCCCTAGATTTTTCCCCCAGCTGCAGGAAGTTCTGCAAACTTCCCCTACAGGAGGAGGGATCCTTGTCCAGGGAGCTATTTCCCTTTCCACCCAACCCACTGAGCAGCCATACCCCCTCTTACCCAGACCCCTCTACTGAGCCTCATACGCTCTTCTCCCTGCCTGTGGACCACCCTGATGACCCAACTGTATCCAATTACCATCCCACCAAGCCTCAGCCAGTTGCACCTGGATCCCCATCCCACTGATCCCCACTCTCTTAGAATCTGGAAACCCCATGCAAACCCCACACACACCTAGCCACCCCTTCAGAATTCCAATACTATTGGACCCACCCATCAAGCCTCTGTGCATTCAGATGTCCTTCCACAGCTGGATTCTGCACTGAGCTGCCCACACCCGGATTGCCTCACACAGAACTCTCTCAACTCTCATATCTGGATCCCCCTGCACTAAGCCCCTCTACACTTGGCATCTATCATGCTGAGCCTGCCTGCCCACACCTGGTATACTTGGCATGAAGGAGCCATGGTGCTTAAGAGGTAGGCCCAGTCCTTGCACAGTGTCAGGGTTGGGTGAAGCATCACTGCTCAGTCTGTGTCCTGGGGGGCAGCTGCACGGTGATCTCCCACCTGTTAATCTATGGCCTTTGTTCCCCAAAGCCATGCTGGAGCCTTCACATTTATTTAGCAAACAAAATTTGCAGAATTGTAAAATAGTGTACACAGATTTTTTAGCAATCATCATAGCTTCCATTACTCATTCTGTACATTATAGCCATGTCTGAATATAATGCACTGTAATATATACAAAAGCTTCTTTAGTGTTATAAACATACAGTATTATAATAAAATTTGAGATTCAGATATTTGTTCTAGGCTGCTCCAGAAATCATTGCATTTCATTGGATAAGGAAATGATCCCTCATCATTCATATATCAGTTTAAGGGTGGAATTGTGAGTGGTAATAAATATCATTAGCCTTTATTATTTCAGGAGTTGGCCAATCCCTCAAAAGGCCAAGCTTTTTGAATTATAAAGGAGTTTTCCCATTATCTTCACTGAGAACAGGGTTGAGTCCTTAGGCCCTGATTCTGCAAAGACTTAGACACATGAGTAATTTTAGTCCCATGAGTAGTCCTATTAGATTGTGGATAAATTCAATTTAATGTTAAAAACAATGGGCCAAATTTCTCCCAATGAAACTGTCAGAACTTCATTGCCTTCAAAGAAGTTCTATCAGTTTACACCAGCAGAGAGTTAGCACACCTGGCTTGAAATTTGAATGCATTGTCTCATTTCATAAGTCTTCAATAAAACTTCTCTTTGATTGGGATAGGTGTGAATTGTTTAGTTTATGTTGCATTTTTTTGTATTTTACTTTATAGAGTTGATCATTTGTTCCCTGTATAATTCCAAAGGTTAATTAAAATAATAGCATTTGAAATATATAATTGACCCCTGTGGAAATATATTGTTGTATATTTGTGTTGTAGTTAATAGAATCATGAAAACAAATATAGGTTGTTTTTCAATCTTTTCTGAAATCTAAGAGCCAATAAAGAAAAAAATGATTTACCCATGACAAAATTTGGCAAGTAAATTAAACAATTTTTTATTGTTTCAGGATATGGGTTATACTCCTGATTTTGTATTGACTGCAATGGGTCCTTATATTAATGACATTCACAGGAAAGGTAGGTATGTTATAAGATTATGAGTTGGGATAACTGCAATTATTTATAGCTTGATCTTTTAAATGCTGATCACTCTTAACTACTGTATTGTTTCTTCAATATTAGTTGGGGTCCTCAGAACCTCACAAGACTAGATTGTTAGTGTTCACACCTTCATTGTGTATTTTGTTACTTCAAAGCTGAATATAGGAAGTCTGACTGTTTTTAATATGGGTTGAATGAAAACATTTAACAAAGGGAATTCTAATTTTCCCCATTCTTAATACACAATATATTACATACTGTAAATTGAGCTATGAATTTATTTTAAAAGGGGACCTGCATTTTTCTTATCTCCTTTGAGATGTACTTATATCCAGTTTTTGGGTTAACTCTTTAATGAGTAGAGTTGGACTGGGAAATGGTTTTCCCATCCCAGAGAATTTTTAAAATTTGGAAAAAAAATACAAAACCTTCCCCATTCTGAAATGGGGCAAGTAGCTTGAAAACTCTAGTAAACAGAAAGTCTTAAAAAAATGAATCAACTGAAATGTTTCACTTTGATAATTCTGAAATATTTTGTTTTGATTTCAACCTTTCTGTTTTCTACTTTCCTTTGCTATGCATTACATTCAAAATGAAAAGTCATTTCAAACTGAAGAACTGAACTTTTTCCTTTAGAAAGTGTCAAAACCGAATATTTAGACAATTTTAAACTTTTCAAAATTTTGTCAAAAACAAAGATCTATCGTAACAAACCTTTTCCTGTGAACAATTTTGGTTCTGATAGATCAGCATTTTCCATTGAAAAAACAAATTCTTGAGCATCTCAATCTGTTTATATGGATAGAGACACAAAGTGGATAAAATATTATTTTTTGTTGGATCAACTTCTGTTGGTAGAAGAGACATACTAATTTGTACTAATAAAATGTTAAGAGTATGCAGCCATACCAATTTTCTTTGTGAGTAAAAGGTAGTACTGTCTCCCTAAGATTCTCTTCTTATGATTATGCCTGCAGTGGTAAAATAGTTCAAGGGTGGGCAATAAAAAGGTGGCAGTTAACTTGGGTTAGCTCCTGGTAGGCTATTGCTGCTATATTTACCCTCCACAGTTACTAGCGATTAAAGCTCTCATTGGCTGGGAACAGTGATGTGCAGCCAGTGGGAGCTGTTATCCCCATACCTGCAGAGGCGCAGGTAAATACAGTGGTGTGAGAGCCCACTCCTGAAACAGCTGTATGTTTCTGTGCAAGAGTATTCAGTGAAATGGTGAACACTGTAAACATTTACATTATTAGGTTTCATAGTTGCACCAGTCAGAACTATTATTTATCTCTAGCACATCATCTGGTTTGTTGTTCTGATTGATCATGTGCTTGACAATATACAATAGTGCATCCTAGGGCTCAGGGTATAAAGTCTTTTTTATAGTATAACTAGTGATTTTAACACTGAACTTTATTCTGTTAAGGTGTTCGTGTCATTAGTAATGCTGGTGGAATGAATCCACTTGCATGTGCTGCTTGTCTTCAAGCGATGGCAAAGAAAGCAAATGCTGATTTGAAAATAGCTGTTGTTGCTGGAGATGATCTGATGGACGAGGTATTTGATATTTTATGACTCAATACAAGTTTGGGAAGTTTGATAATTCTTTCATACATTTTGAAATATGCGGTGTCATTGTGAGGCTTCAGTTTTGTTACACTTTCTCAAATAATGATACAATGTGTAATCCCACAGCCACATGTCCACTAGTCCTTATTAGAGATGTAAAAATGCAGTTAAAAATGTAACTGTGTTATGATGAAGGGTGGTTACAGAAGACCCGTTGGGGATGTTTCCTCGTGTGATGATAAAGACACTGACACTTGCTCCCCTGAGCATCTTACCACCCTGTCCTGCTGGGCCAGATCTCCTGGTCTCCCCCAGCTGAGATCATGTTCTCTCCCCCTCCCCCCATCCTGGAAGAGCAATGAAGACACTGAATCAATTCTACTCTGAGGAAAATGCAGACACAGTATCAACCCCCAAATGGGATCAGAACCCCAAATAAAATCCATTTTTCACTGTGTAAGAGATTCACACATTGAAAGCACATTCAGTTATGCCTCCTTTAACAAAGAAAGGAGGAAGAGCACAGATTGCTCCCCTAGGTAACAATTATTTACACTGGGCTTGATATTAAATAAAAGTAATTGTATTAAATACAAATGGTAGGATTTAAGTAGTTGCATGTGAAAATGGGCAGAACAAAGTAAATTACAAATTTAAAATAAAAGAAGACGCATAGCTAGTTCTAACACACTAAAGCTTATTCCAAACTCACCCTAAAACTGTTCTTATTTTGGGCAAACCTCCAAGCCAGGGAAGATCTTTTTCTCCCATGAGGTCTCCGGCTGTTCCCTTGGGTATGTCATGCAGCCAAAGGCAAAGGGACAGATAGCTTCTCATTGTTTTATAGATTCTACTTTGGGTGAGAACTTGTTGTTTTCTCTCCCACCTTCAATGGAAAATGACCTGGTCAGACCCTACCGGTTGGGATGGTATGTCTTCCTAAAAACAGCCACTGCTTAGACTTGAAGACAAGCAAGGCTATTATCCAGTCGTTAAGTTGATCGCCCAGACGTTGAGTGTCTGAGCATTGGCTTTCATTTGCACCATAAACCATTCTCTGCCCCTTATTTCTAACTTTACATCCAAGAGTGATACATGCATCAAAATAAAATAGACAGATCCAGCAGATTGAGACATTAATATTGGCAAGTTACGTGAGGTATTTTGTCCAAAGCATCTTCAAGTTATGTATTTGTATCCATAAGTCAATTTCATAAAGCATTGGAGTGGGGGCCGTCACACATGTAACTGCTAAAATCATAGCAGTTACACAGTTATACACACTACGGGCTCTGCAGTATAAAGCTTAAATAAGTTTTATACTGCAGAGCCCACAATGAAGCCTCCCCGGGAGTGTGGCAAGGGCTGCTGCTGGCCCAGCTCCTGGGGAGGCGGCTTTGCTGGTGCAGCAAAGCCACATTCCCAGGAGTGGGGCCAGCAGAGGCTACCGGTTCCACCCCTGGGGTGACTTTGCTGTGGGTTCTGCAGCAGTCCCTGCTCCCAGAGATCCAGAGCGTAACCTGCGGCTGAGGAGTGGGGGGAATTTGGCCAGGCCTGCCACAGACGGGAGGCTCCTGTGGGCTCCATGGACCTGGAGCAGTCTTCTGCTCTGGACATGTGGGGAGCTGCTCCAAACCCTACTGGTTTACCAGTTAACCGATTAACCTTTTACATCCCTAGTCTTTGTATACCTTACACATAAGATCGGCCACACTCTATATCTCAGGCTCTCTGGTGCAAATGAGAAGGCAGGAGTTAGTCCTAAGCTATTTTTTATTTCTAATTGCTATATAAGCTAAATAATAGTGAATCTTTGATTTCTGAAACTGAACATTCCACAGTTAGCATAGACTTGATGATTCATGTCCGTTGACTTCTTCTAAGACAGTAGAATGTCAGCATTAGGATCATCACAGTCATGAATGACCAGGCAACCACACAGCTGATTTGGAACTGGAAATACATAATCAGGCAGCAGCAGATAAAGAAAAAAAATAAAAATAAAAACAAATACATGATAGTACTGTGCTAAATGTAAACTACTAAAAATAAAGGGAAAGCAACATTTTTCTTTTGCATAATAAAGTTTCAAAGCTGTATTAAGTCAATATTTGGTTGCAAACTTTTGAAAAACAATCATAATGTTTTATTTCATGTTACAAACAATCTCCATTACCAAGATGTTCATAACTCAGAGATTCTACTGTAACTTACCAAGTTCTAGCTGGTTTCTTTAGTAGGTAACTTAATGCGATTATGTCTAAGGTAATTTCTGGTTGGTAGATTTGCAGTTAGGGTGTCTTAAGGTATTTCAAATCTAGCGGCTTGTCTAGACTGCATTCCTGTGTCGGAAGAGGAATGTAAATGAACTCGATGGAAAGTGCAAATGAAGCGGAGATTTAAATATCCTGCATTTCATTTGCATATTTGCATCGCTGTTTCGAAAAAGGGTTTTTCGAAAGTGAAACTGTAGTCTAGACGTGGTTCTTTAAAAAAAAAACCCTTTTTCAAAAGAACCCGTACTTCTGAAAAAATGAGGAGTACGGGTTCTTTCGAAAAAGTTTTTTTTTTTTTTTTTTTTTTCAAAAGAACCATATCTAAACTGTGGTTTCACTTTCAAAAAACCCTTTTTCAAAACAGCGATCGGACGTGAATATGCAAATGAAGCGCGGGATATTTAAATCCGCACTTTATTTGCACTTTTGATTTGCCTAATTTACATTCCTCTTTCGACACAGGAATGTAGTCCAGACATAGTCCTCATGATTATTGTGGTATGAAACTGTATTTTTCCTCCAAATGCATAACACCACTGCAAAAACAAAGAAGATTAGAATGGGAAATGCTGTATTTCATACATTATCTTTTGAGGATGAGATATTTTTTCCTTTAACTTGGGAAATCTAGCAGAAAACTGTTAGATATTTCAGTGCATTGTATGTTACACTTGATTGGAAAACGGGTATAACTTAAGACAAAGATGGCTGCAGTGCTGTTCAAATGTACTTTAGTGTCACAGATTGTCCTATACCCTTTCAAATTATTAATGCAGGGACATGGCCAACAGATACTACAGTTCCTACTATGCCATCAAATATGAAGAAAGCTGGAATCTGCTCCATTGCTTACTGTTTAGGTGCAACCACTTGAATTCTGA